CTAAGCTCCACTGGAAGGCCTTGGAAAGGGGCAGGGGCTCCGCCAGACCCCTGCTGGGACTGTGTCCAGCCATACCTCCACCTTCAGAGCTAGGACAGCACCACATTCTTTGCTCACTGCTTGTTGACCCTTTGTCACTGCCCAGCTCTCTTGTGTGGCCAGTGAACATGTGTTTTGGTGGTACAGGAAGCAGCTGCCCCAGGTGTCCACTCGAAGGCCTCTGCTGAGAGCCCAGGCTGGCCAGGATCCTTAAGAGACTCACGGCCTCTCCAAGCCATGCAGCTCCCTGTGGTGAGCTGGCTCTGGGCTGGGCCTGAGCTGGACTGCTGCTCGGCCAGTGACCCCACTGTCTGTCTCCCACCCGCCCCACCCGGGAGGCAGTCTCCCATTCGTGGGCGCCTGCATATTTGTCATTTTTGTCTCCCCAGTCACTCTGCTGGCTTGTTGCAGAGGCAAAAATGGCATTGGCTGGCATTGGATGTTGGGTGGGAGGACCCACTTCTAGGCAGGAAGTGCCCAGCAGAACCCTGGGCAGGGTAGGGCAGAGTGTAGAGATGAGGCAGTGGCCAGGTAGGGCTCCTCCCAGCTCATTCCTCCTGGTTCATCTGTTTTACAGTTTGTTTGAAAGTCAGAGAGTCACACACATAAACACAGAGAGGAAGAAGGAGCGAGAATGTCCATCCACTGATTCACTCCCCAGGTGACCACGATGGCCAGTGCTGGTCCAGGCTGAAGCTGGGAGCCAGGAGCTTCATCCAGGGCTCCCATTCGGGTGGCAGAAGTCCAAACACTTCTGCTTTTCTCAGGCCATTAGCAGGGAGCTGGATAAGAAGTGGAGCAGCCAGGACATGAACCAGGACCCGTATGGGATGCTGGTGTCACAGGTGGCTGCTTTACCTGCTGTGCCCAACACCAGCCCCTGCCCGCCCTGCCCCACTTCCCCCGGCTGCCATGTTGACTTTCTTCAAGGCCTCCCTGGACTGCTGTGATATCTGTAATTCTCAGAGAGATGGGAATTGACGGGTGCAGACTCTAATGGGGTTTCCACCAGCCTCCAGGGCCCTGGTGACAGGTAGGAGGGGCAGAGTGCCTAGGAGAAGTGAGGGCATGGTTGGTGATATATGAAAGATAGACTCCTGTTCACTGGAAATGTTGAAAAACAAGACCCAGTCCCTGGTGGCACGGCCCGGGCGTTCTAGCAGGGAACAGCAGACGCACAGGGCACTGTGGGGCCGAGACATGGGGCACCATTTTAGAAGTTGGTGTCACAGAGCGCCTCCATAGTTCACAGCACCAGGTCTGTGAACTGAGCAGCAAAGAGCATCAAGGCTGAGGAAGCGGCAGGTGCAAAGGTCCTGGGGTACATGGTCCCCAGACTGAGAGCAGCCCTGAGGCTCACATGACGGAGAGCGAGGATAGTGGGACTTGCATGAAAGCAGATAGCATCAGCCACAGCTCAGGTCATTGGGGGTCAGGTTTGGCATTGACTTTGGGTAATGTCTTAGTTAATCAGCTGAGGTTGATTTTGGCTCTTGCTCTGAGGTTGGGCAGCTGTGTTGCTTTGGGTCCTGGCAGACGACCGTGGTAGAGGTGCATGGACTGAGAAAGCTCCCCTGGGGCTGCAAGCGGCAGAGGGAGAGAGGGGCTGGACTCTAGAGAGGTTCTGTCACTTCTCTCCTGGGAGAATCCCCAGTGAGCCAAGGCTCTGCCAGCAGGCCTGACACCGAAGTGCCATAGGCTAAAGGTTGTATGTACCCTTTTAGTACCAGTGACCCATGGTTTGGGGGCATCAGACCCCCATGAGTTTGGGAGCCGCATGACATTCAGGCTGCAGCGGATGTGATGAAAAGCCTCGCCGTGAGAAGCTTCTCGTGGGCCCTGAGCCATCAAGCTGACCAGCCTGCTGTGTGCAGGGGCCTAGCAGGGAGATCCAGGAAACCAGAATTGGAGAGTCCAACCAGGAGGAGGCGGTGGCGGTGTGCCAAGACCAGGGTGGTGAGGAAACGACAGGGGACCGAGGGCGTCCTGGTTGCATCCGGGGTCATGTATGTACAGCTTGTATCAGCAAGACCCCAGGGCTGGGCAAGGCTGAGCCAGGGCTGGGCAAGGCTGTGGCTAAGCTGCTGAGTGGGCCATCATGGTGGCTGTGAAATGCTGTCTCCTGTGGCTCTGATCACATTCCCATAATGCCAGAAGCTGGGCATCTTTCCATGTGCTCGTTGGCTGTTTGTATAGCCTCCTTGGAGAAATGTCTTTTGCCAATTTTTAAAAATTTATTTATTTTTATTGGAAAGGTAGATTTACAGAAAGGAGAGATAGAGATCTTACATCTGCTTATTCATTCCCCAAATGCCCTCCACAGCCAGAGCTGAGCTGCTCCAAAGCCAAGAGACAGAAGCGTCTTCTGGGTCTCCCACGTGGGTGCAGGGTCCCAAGAGCTTGGGCCATCCTCGGGCACCTTCCCGGGTCATAAGAAGAGAGCTGGATCGGGAGTGGAGCAGCTGGGATGTGAAATGGCACCCCTGTGGGATGCTGGAGAATCAGTTGGCTGCACCTGTGCCTGGGTGCCTTGGGGGTGGGGAGTTTTCACCTTGGAGTTTTCAATAATAGCTGTGAGGTTTCTGGTCTTATTGGTGCTAGTTACCTTGTTGGAGAAGTTCTCTCTATTCCTGGTTTAGTGGGAGATGTTGGTTTGGGGTTTTTTTTTTTTTAAGTCATGAAATGCCTTTGAATTTTGTCAGGTGCCTTGTTCTTGTGAGTGGAGATGTCTGTTGTGTTGACAGGTAGTACACAGGCTGGCTTTCAGATGTTAAGCCAACCTTGCTTTCCCAGGCTAAGTGACACTTGGCTGGGTCCGTAATCTGTCTTAGATGTTGTATTTGCAGCCTGCTGGCATTTTATTGAACATTTTTGCAACTGTGTAAGAGATGCTGTTTTCTGGGGGGTCCCGTCAGCTGGTTCTCACTGTCCTTGTCTCTTAGTGTGTCCTATGGTGTGGATCAGGGGGTGGGGGCGAGACTGACCTCTGCCTCCTTCCTGTGCTCCCCGCCATGTGGTGGACAGAGACCAGCCACTCAGAGCTCAGGTGTCTGTAGTGGTCAGAGGGAGGGTGGGGAGGGAAGGTCAGACAGGTTCTCATGGAGAGGCCTGGGAGGCAGCATAGCCCTGCCCTTCAGGGACACAAGGGGGCACAGCGGCTGTGAGGGCCCCTGCCACACGGTAGGAGGCTCTGTAAGTGACGGCTGCAGGTTCCTGGCCAACTGGCAGTGTGGACGTGTGTCTTGTGCAGTAAATGTCAAAGGCCCTGCATGACCTCATGAAGGGTACTTCCTTCCTGCCCCTGACCCCAGGACAGGAGGTTGGCCTGGGCAGGCAGCAGGGCCTGGGTCAGGGGCAATCAGTGCTGTCCTGGCACCTGCAGGTCCTCCAGAGGCCCAGGCGGGGGAGAGAGGGTGGGCACAGCAAGAACGGTCACGAGGGAGGAACGTCTGGAGGTGCTGACAGCTCCGCTTGCCAATTCCCTCCCGCTCCACGAGCTGGGGAGGCACACAGTCAGGTCACCGGCTCAGCAGCCATGAGGGCTGTGATGTAATCTTGGATTCCATGGTTGCTAGGGAATTTCTGCCTGTAGTGATTCTGCGCGGCCCCACGATCGAAGCAAGAGCAGGGTGTTCCTGGGGAGCTGGGTGGGATTGGTAGTGTTTCCTGTCAATGGAGGTTCCCTTCTGAAACTTCCTGATCCCCCTTATAGGAATCAGGGTTGTGCTGGGTGAGGAACCTATCCGTGCTTACAGCCTCATTGCTGGGCACTCGCATCTATGTGCCCATCTCCTCTGTGTGGCAAGGCAGTGAGCCAGGTCAGCATGAGGCTGCCCACTGCATTGCCAGTGATATGGAGGATGGACACTCCCACAGCTGGCCACCAGGGCCCTTCCTGTCTGTCCTTCCCACCTACCCCAGAAGCTTTTCTGCAGTGGCACAGCTGAGAAATATGCCAGAAAGGCCACAGACCGCTGTACTGTCTAGGCACAAGACAGCTGTGCTTTAAAACAGGGAGAGACAAAGCAGGAGGCAGGGACAAGAGGGCAGGGGGACCTGCAGGAAGCCAGGCTGCTCCCTCTCCCTGCAGCCCTGTCTGGCTCCCTGTCCAAGCCAGCGTGTTGTGGAAAACAGAAGGAAGGGTAGCTGTGGAGCTTGACCCATGGCCCACAACTGCACCACCAGGATGAAGGGAGTCTGTGACATGTGCTGTGTGCATTGTCTGCCTGCCGACAGCGGGCTGTATGGGCCTGGCCAGGCTCCTCAGCCCAGGTGCGGGGCTCCAGCCGAGAGGAGCAGCCGTCGAGGTCAGAGTGAGGGGCAGGTGTTGTGGCACAGTGGGTTGGCCAGGTGCACATGCAGCCTGGCACCTCCTCCTGCAGTCCAACTTCCTGCTGAAGCATCCTGAGTCAGCAGAAGACCTGCCACCCTTGTGGGAGACCTGGATTGAGTTCTGGGCTCCTGGCTTCAGCCCAGCCCTGGCTGCTGTGCACATTCGGGGAGTGAACCAGTGAATGGAAGATCTTTCTCTCTTTCATGTGGAAGACAATGAATCAATAATAAACAAGCAGGCATTTTAAAAAGAAAGAGCAAGATGCCCCCAAAAAGGTCAGCATTTGAGTCTTGGAAAGGAGGGAGACCCCTCCCCCCGCCCTTTGGGATCTTGGTGACCTTGGAACATTGGATGTGAGCAGAGCAGAGCCCCACCCAGGACCCCAAGTCCTTGTGCCCATCTGAGCCATGTGGCCCTGAGCCAACCTCTGTAGCAGCCCTTCCCTCACCACTACCCTACCCCTACCCCAACCCAAGTGCTGCACAGGCAGCGGGCAGGCCGGAGAAGGCGGGCATTCTTGGCAGCGTGCTGTGCTCAGCAAGCACACTGGTGGGCTGGTGCTCCGCCTAGGGGCCCGCAGCTTCCTGGTCATGAGACCCCAGCAGCGATTCTTGTCCCTGGTCTGCAGGTGCAGAGGATGTGGTGATGGCGTTTTCCAGGTCGGAGACGGAAGACCGGAGGCAGTAGCTGCAACCCCTTGGAGCACCCTGGAAGCTGTCAAGGGGCAAGATCGGTGCAGCTCCTCGGCCAGCCGAGTGACAGGAGACCACCCTTCCCGTCCCCCTGCCCACCCCCTGCCCGCCCCATGGCCACTCAGCTCAGCGGGGCTGCCACTGGGGGAGACACTCGTGGTGCACTTATAACTGGCTGAGGACTTGTGATTGGCTGCAGGAAGAAACCTTTTCATTTTTAAATCTTGACCAATGGAAACCTTTTATTTTCATTTCTGACTTTTTTTGCGCCTCGGTGTCTGGCTTCCCGGGAAGCTCTCCGAGCTCTGGTGCTTTGTCTCAGTCATTTTTTTAGGCATGTGAAGAGATGATTGGCTGCTTAAACAGGAAAAGGATTGGCTGGTTAGTGGGAACTTTTTTTTTTCTTTCATCAGCTGCAGGTGTTCTGTTGATATCAACAGCTTCTCTAATGTCAAACGCAGAAAACAGGGTCTGGGACGTTGGTTGTTACATTTGACTTGAAAAAAAAAAAAACAGAACCAAGTATGCTTTGCAATATTTATTACATGAAGAGCTTGCTGCTGCTGCCTTCACGTGTCGGGTTTGTGTCTGAGCGGCTCACGCAGGATTCCCGTTGCCATGGATTCACCCCACTCTGCCACTTGTCCCGGATCTGGGGGTCCACCTGGAGAACGCTTTGGTGACCACACCTGCCTCTACCAGCAAGGGGACCCCAAGCACCCCAGTCAGGGTCCACAGCCAGGAGCTCTGTGTTACCATGAACGAGCTGCACAGAGCGTTGAGCTGGCTGTAGGGCTGGCTTCATGTGCATTGCTGCCACAAACCTCCATGGGAGCTGGGTCCCCAGACACCGCCCTCCACCGAGGAGCAGCAGGCTGGGCAGCTCCCTCCTCCTGCCTGCCCCTCCTTGTCCCACTTGCTGATAGTTCTGGCTAAAACCACACTTGACCTGGAGGTCACCTGGTCACCTTGTAAGGGTCTCTTCTTTGGAGCCCCACACCTACATAAGAGCCCCAGCTTGGCTCCCAAGGCCCAGCAGATCTGGGCTTTCAAACACCAACCTCAGGGGCTGGCGTGATAGCTCATCTGACTAATCCTCTGTCTGCAAGCACCTACATGGATGCCAGTTTGTGTCCTGGCTGCTCCAGCTCCCTGCTTAGGGTCTGAGAAAGCAGTAGAGGATGTCTCAGTCTGTGGGTGCTGTACCCATGTGGGAGACTGGAGGAAACTCCTGGCTCCTGACTTCAGAGTGGCTCAGCTTTGGCTGTTGTAGCTATTTGGGGAGTTAACTAGTGGATGGAGCATCTTTTTTGTCTCTTCTTCTCTGCCTTTTCAATAAAAATAAATCTTTAAAAAAAAAAGCTCTGACCTACCCAACCAGGCTCCACCAGTACCCACCCTGGGCTGGTTGGCCCCTCCTGTGTCAGCTGGGACAGGAAGTGTCATTCTCTATGAAGTGTCCACCAAGGCAGCTGCTGGGGCCTTCCCTGGGTGACCTCTCCTGGAGGTTATGGGCCTCCCTTACCCTTCCATCCATTACCCATGGGACCAGGGAGGCTGGAGAAAGATGGGGACCCCCGTTCTGACTCTGGATATCCAGAGCCAAGGAAAGCCAGGCCTTGTGCCCAGGCTTGCAGCTTGGGGCTGAGGGCCTCTGTGGCTCCTGGATGTGGTGGAGTGTGTGAGAATAGATGCCAGTGTGCCACAGGCTGACACCCTGGCCAGCCTCGCCCATGGAGTGTGCCCCCCTGTGCTTGTTACAGACAGCGCTCTGGACCCCTGGCCCTAGTTAGTGGGCAGTCCCTCAGGGCCACCCATTCCCAGGGGACGAGGAGCGGAGAGAGTGGCATCACAGTGGACCCTAGTGGGGGTGCGGTCAGCCTCTCTGTCAAGGGGCAATGCGTGAGATGCACTCTCACGTGTGTCCACACGGTGCCACCTGTGCACGCACACACACACGTGCACAGGCTCAGGCCCGAGGAAAGGTAGGTGCCTTCTGTTCCCCTCCTGGGGTCGTAAACTCTAGGATCGCGTTGCTGGCGGCTCGCTCTCCACCTGGTATTCATAGCAGGGACCCAAGCCCTCTGGGCAGTGTGTTCTCTGCCCCCACCTGTCCTGGTCACTGTCATGGGTCTTGCTTTTCTAGCCTGTCTGCTCATCTGAGAGAGAGCCTGGGTGTCACTGTGACTTCAGATTTCAGACAGAAATCTGTTTGGTGGAGAAGAGTTCACAGTAAAAGATTTTTTTGTAGCTTGGGTGTGCACTGAGCTGGCATCTCCCTCTGGGTTAGGCCCTGGGTGCGTCCCCCATCCTCTGAGCTTTGCTGCCACTGGGCTGCCCTCCCCAGTAGGCCATAGCCCAAAGGGACAGCAGTGCCTGGAGTCCCAGGCCTGTGTTCCCAATGAGCAGTTGCTTAGCCAAGTAGATCCCCCTGTAACCTAGTGCTGCTCCGCTGGGCCGGTGAGCAGGTGCTGAGCTCTGGTCTCCCGTGGTGGCACTGATCATGGCAAGCCTGTCCCCCAAAGCCGCCTTCCTGTCAGCTGCAGAGGAGTGAGTGCTGTCCGGCTGTGTGGTGCGAGTTCTGGGAGCTGCAGAGCTTTTTGCTTCAGAAGCAGTTTCTAGAAACTGTCCTTCCCACACAGCACAGTCTATTGTGGGCTATTTTTCTCTCACGACTCTCTGTTAACTTTTGCAGAACTGCTCTGGGCCCTGGGTACTCTGGGGTTCCTGAGCAGCACTGTGGGCATCCCTCTGGGTTGTCGGTGGTCCCGGCGCCCTGAGCCCCCTCCCGAGAACTTGCTCCCTCACATGTTAGCCCATTCTGTCTCCAGGTCAATCTGATTCATCCCTGAATGGAGTTGATCTGTCTTGCTCTGTACTTCCTTGTGCAGGCAGAGGAGTGTGCAGTCACTGAGGGAAAATCAAATAAAGGCGGCTGCATTGGCCAAAAGCGACATGAGGACACACAGGCAAGGAAGGACCCGAGCAGGGCAGGGCTGAGTTAATCTCTTCTAAGCTGGTTCAGTTGAGGGCTCAGTCCTTCCCGCCCCTCCCCCGCCCTCTGCAGAAAGCTGGGAACCCTAGCCTGGGGGTCACCTGACCTGTCAGATCTGTAACATCAACCCAGCCGAGGTAAGAGGAACCGGCTTCAGTGGGGGGAAACGAAGACTGTAGGCGCTTTGAGGGCCCCTCAACCCACACAGCAGACAACCTTCAGGGTGCAGGTGCACCCAGTGTTGGTGACCCTAAAGGGCAGGACCGTTGAGGCTGGAGACAGCAGGGGACCAGGCTGAGCCTGGGGGAGCCCTGGGATGGGACAGTACCCTGTCTGTTGTTGGTGTCTCCCAGGCATCAGTGGGTGGAGGGACAGTAGAGAATGAATGAAGCGCTCTGTTTCCCCCCAGGTGAATAGCAGCTGTGAGAATCCGGGCTGTCTCAGCCTTTGAACAGGGTCCTTTGTCCTAGCGAAAAACGATTCCCTCCGTGGTACCTGGTCCAAGGGTGGAGATAGGAGTTGACTTCCGGAACCAGGAAGCTAGGTAGGGCCCCGTGGGACTCCAGTGCCACCCAGCTGCCCCTCCTGCGTTTTCCCCTCTGGATTGCCATGGCACCTGCCCTGCTCTCCTGAGATAACCTGGAGCCAGGCCAGCCTAAGATCACATTAGCAAACATTCATGTCTCTCCATGCTGTCCAGTGCAAGCATCTGCCCTCCTGCGAGATAGCTGGATGTTTAGGAGTTTTGGGGCTTGAGGCAGGGGATCCCCACTTAAGGCGTCTCTGAAAGACGTAGAGTAGTAAAACAAGTTCCTAGGAACCAGCTAGAATCCTGCCCCTGCTTCTGTCCTTCACCTTGAACTGCCCTCTCATGGATGAGTCCAGGGGTCACCTGCCCCACCCTGCCCAGTGGGGACATCAGGAAAGCCCTGATGTCCAGGGCTTAGAAGCCAGCCACGCTCTGCACACCTCCCCTTGCTGGAGTACCTCAGGAAGAAGCGTGTGGGCCTGGGGTGACCATGCCCGAGCACCCCACCCCAGCTGTACAGCCCCATAGTTTCTCCACCTTGGCCCCCAACTTGCTGTTTCCGGTGGAGGAAGTTCCCATCAACAGCTGTACAGGTTGCTGTGTTTTGTGTCTGCCCAAACCTCCTGGGCTTGAGACTCAAGCACCATATTTGTTCATGCATTTGTGGTATTTGAAGATGGGACGTCTGGGAGGTGATGGGGCTGGACCAGGCCCAAGGGTGGCCCTCACCACAGCCTGAGAGGCGGGGAGAGTGGGGCCTGACCTAGGTCTGCACACACAGCCTCCTCCAGAGTGCCATGGCACAGCAGGAGGGCCCTCACTGGGTGTTGGGCAGCTGCTGGTGCTGGGCGGGCGGGCGCCTCCGGGGCCTCAGACCCAGGAGCCAAAGCACCTGTGTCGTTGATAAATTACCTGGTGTTACTTTGCTGTAGCAACAGGAAACTAAGACAATCACTGTCCCCCATGCCCCAGTCTTTATAATTTTTTATTTGAAAGATAGTTACAGAGAGAAGCAAAGAGAGATCTTCCACCTCTGCTTCACTCCCCGGATGGCTGCATCAGTTGACACTGGGCCCCTGGAAGCCAGGAACCTGGAGCTTCTTCTGGGTCTTCCATACGATGCAAGGACACAAGGACTTTGCTGCTTTCCCAAGCCATAAGCAGGGAGTTGAATCAGAAGCGGAGCAGCTGGGATACAAACTAGCACCCCTATGGGATGCTGGTGCTGCAGGCAGAAGCTTCATCTAAATACCATGGTGCCGGCCCCTGTCTAGAATTCTGCCTGCCTCCCCCCAAAGCATTTATGTGTTGGACAGAGATGGTTCACTCCCAAAATGTTCTCAGTAGTTGGGCTGGTTCTGCCAAAGGAGGGACCCAGGAATTCATTCTGGGCGCCCATGCAGGTTGGGGAGAGGAGGACCTGAGTACTTGAGGCCTCATCTGCTGGTGGATTGGAGCATTGGGGTGCTGGTGGATAGGAGTGTTGGGGTGCTGGTGATAGGAGCGTTGGGGTGCAGGTGGATTGGAGTTTGGGGTGCTGGTGATAGGAGCGTTGAGGTGCAGGTGGATTGGAGCATTGGAGTACAGGTGGATCGGAGCGTTGGGGTACAGGTGGATTGGAACATTGGGGTGCTGGTGGATTGGAGCATTGGGGTACAGGTGGATCGGAGCGTTGGGGTGCAGGTGGATAGGAGCATTGGGGTGCAGGCATCTCAGCACGCACACGTCCCAGTCTGAAGGCAGTGTCGCCTGGCAGTGTCGACTAGACTCCCTGGCCTTTCCTGCCTTGGGCAGCCTCACTCTTCACACCATTAGACCCAGCTGCACTCCTGCAGGCTACACTGATTTTTCTAGAAATTCTTCTTGCACTTGGCAATCTCCCAGGTTTCTGCCATTTGCTGCTGTGGTATAAATCTTCCTGTCCCCATAGCTGGGGGCTGGGCAACTTCATGCTCTATTGTGAGAACTCCAGGGCTAGAGCCTAGGTCTACCTCTCAGCCGCCCGTGACATGGGCAGGTAAGCTAACTTATGGGTAATGTAAAAAGTGTGGAAAAAAAATGTGTCCTGTGAGGCTATTATGAAATCATGCTTGTGACTAGCTTAGCTCAGTGCCCTGTGCACAGTGGGTGGCCAGGACAGATGGTCATCGTCACCACAGTGGGTGTCCCTGCACCTCCATGCTCCCAGCTCCTACTACGTCACTTGCAGGAAGAGCTGGTCTGCAGCTCCTGCCTTGGGGAGTGGCACAGCCCCAGGTCCAATTAGGTGCTTATTAGGCGCTTTTGATGGAGATGAAAGAGCCGAGATGATCCCTTGGTAGAAGCCAGGCCAGCTGCCTCCCGCTCCCCACCCCCTTCCTGAGCCTCTTCTGCTAAGGAGCTTTGAGGGGTGGTGTGGGGGGCCATTAATTGGAGCAGAGTCCCTCAGCCTTCCCACACCTGTGGCACAGAGGTGGGTCCCCAGTGAGTTTTGTTGTCACGGAACAGCCGGGCGGGACCTGGGCAGGGTGGGCGCCCTCTCTCCCAGGGACCCTTCTGCTCTGCTTGCCGTGTGCTTCAACTCCAGATGGAGT